ACTCATGCCTGGAACTAAGACCAAGCTTAATATAAAGGGATAAGTTGAGGGGTGTCAGAATTACCCACAGTGTCGGAATATGGTGCGTTTACCCTCATACCTTTAATACTACTTAAAGTAGTGATGCTACCAACTTTGCTGCACTCAGCATCTGCAGCACTTTACACTTGTGTGAGTTGTGTCACCAGCCTCCAAAATGAATGTTCCGTTTTATTATCAAAACTCGGCTATAACTTTCTAGCACAATTGACATGGCTTCTTGATTATTAAGTGGCAATTGAACCCCAAAAGTCCTTATTCAGATTGGTATTATTACTATTATATGCTATTATACTCTTATATGCTGTACGGTTTTTAATGGGCCAGCAGGAGTAGGCGGAGTAGTTGCTGAGTGCATACTGCGGAATGCCATGCCGCAGCCATGGTTGCTTGAGTTGCCACTAACCATGACCTGAAGTGACCAATTTGTCATGCAGTCATGGTTTGTGTCAAGTTGGCACTTGGCACTCACTCAGCACATCATGATCATGCACATGACATGAGTTGACACTGGCAACTCATGTGTCTTTTGATGCCTGACAGTAGCCTATTTGAAAAAGTCAGTATTACTTTTCTGATATAGTGTGGCTCTAATATCATATATTTTCCGTAGGAATGAAATCTCATGGCTCTAATCAGTCCCATGTGTCTGCATTGTGGGGTTGAAACAGTTAAACACTTCCTCCTGATATGTGCCCTATATGACCGTGAGAGATAGGTGATGGTATCGAGCATCAATGCCCTGGGAGTTCCTCTCATGTCTGTGCGTGTGCTCCTCGGCGGAGGCAATTACCCCAGACGAATTCAGCACTCCATAATACAAGCAACTGCTACTTACCTCACACAAACTGGTTGTCTAGCTATCTTATAGCCAGTGAAGAGCACTGAATCTAACGACAATTTGCCTCCTATCACTTCACATCGTGAGACTGCCGACAACCTGGAAAAGAAGCATCAGCTGAGAAAGAGGGAAAGAAATTGAAGTGAGAAGATGAAGACTTGAATTAAATGATAATTGCCAAGTCCAGGTGTAACAAGCGGTTTGCGCATGACTTCTTCAATAACATAACATAACATAGTGATGTCGGTGCTGAAGTGTAGGCCTGATGTGGCCTGTCGCCAATTCTTTTCCTTTTCGTGCCTTGTTCACAGAAGATCTAATATCGTGTTATTTGCCTTCTTTGCCTTCTTAATGGTTAATGCCTTCAAACCGTCATCAAATCAATCTAATTAAATTTTAAATACTGCAAAAAAAATGGAATTTTTATAGCAGAACCTACAAATAAACTAGTATACCATAAAATGGGGTTACTTTGACTGGCGGGGTAACTTTGACTTCTTTTCGTTTTTTTAACAAAAACCCCCAAAACTCAAAAACAATTCGACATAGAAAAATTTTGTCAATGGCCATCAAAAGCCTAATACTGAGGCTACATAACACAAAAGAAAGATTGAAAACGTTTGCATATCTAATAGGTTAAAAAAAATGTGACCCACAAAAAAGAGCTATTATTTAAAGCCTGTCGGAGTACCCCCTCCAATCTTTTAATTTTTTGGTAAAATAACTCCAGGTTTTAATGCATTGTAGTAGAACTCTTCTAGTTACATATGCAAAAGACAAATTTTAGGAAAGTGTCATAGTTTGCAAATGGGGGGCGCATTGCTGGCTGTGTGTGGGTAAAACCATGGGAAGCAGCCGCTAGTATGTCAGCAGAATTGTTTGATAAAGTTAACTATCTTGTTCCTATGTTTTGTTAGCTTCTTGACAAATAGACAGCAAAACTTGTGCATAGATATTAGGACACAATAGATTCTGTAAATTTAACTCAATGCCAGTTAATGTATCCAAACAAGAAACAACCATACCGTCAACCGGGGCTACTCGGGACTGGCGGGGTAACTCGGGACAGTCCTATGACACGGCGTAAAACAGTATAGTAGCAAAACGAATTGGAATATTGCAAAACTAAATATAGTGGCTTAAACGTCAACATTTTTCCTATCTATGTGGTATAAATTGAGTAAAAAAATACTACATTTACTAGCTTTGAAAAAAAATGGTGAAAAACGCTATTTTGAAAAGTTACTTCTGCTAAGATCTGTAGTAAAAAAATATTTGCCGTATTAAAAAATTTTGCTTACGTAAAAGTTGCACCCAGGTGTCAGCTTGAAAACGTAATTGAAAGATTTTGCCAATCTCATTAAAAAAAATTGCGGTCATTTGCGCATGGCAGGGGTCGCAGGGCTACTCGGGACACCCCCCGGGGCTATTCGGGACACCCCCAAAGATGTATTTACAGTAGAACCTCAGTTAGCAAAGGCTCCGGTTAAGAAAAAAATTGATTAAAAACAAAGAATATTGATTACATGTACCATGCTTGGCGAAAAAATTTCACTTCAAAATTTTTTAAAATAAAAAAATTAGTGCATCATCGGTCATCACAAAATTGTGCATAGAATGTCATATTTAGAATTGTGCACCAGGTGTCATAGAATGAAAAGTAATTGACCTAAACTATGATTTATTTCTGCAAAACATGTGATGGTTGTCACTAAAACATTCCTTTCTGTTTTAGGTATGTTTTTCACGATCTTTTTTATAGTAAATTCACTTAACCCAATTAAAATGGTGCGAAATTACAAGCCGTCCTGTAAGCTTACAGATACAGAAAAAATTATATAAGGCTACTGATATGAAGCTTGCAGTGGACAAGGTTGTTGTAAATGCTCAATAGCATGTCCATGGATACGGTAATATCGCATCAATAATATGGTAATATCGCATCAATAATACGGTAATCAATGTATATGGTAATATCATATCAATAAAGGAAAAATGAGTAAAAATCACAGAAAATGTCATTTATTCTACCTCTACTTGGGACGGTTTTGAGCGTTTTTTGTTAATAACTTCTTACCATGAAACATTTCATAAACAAGTTTAATCTCATTTTATAGCTCTTTGCAAGGGCTATCAAATGGTATCTTCAAAAAAATTCCATATGCTATTCATAAGGTGCCAGAAGCAAAAAAAAAGTGTCCCGAGTAGCCCCGTCAAACGGAGCTACTTGGGCCACTTGGAATAAAACTTCACTTTAAAACATAAGAAGTATGCAGAGCGTACTCATCCATTACTACAGTACTCTGAAGTCCTCCTCTTTCATTGTAGATGATGTAGAGGTAGAATAAATGACATTTTCTGTGATTTTTACTTGTTTTTCCTTTATTGATATATTACCATATGCATTGATTACCGTATTATTGATGCAATATTACTGTATCCATGAACATGCCATTGAGCATTTACAACAACCTTGTCCACTGCAAGCTTCATATCAGCAGCCCTATAGCATTTTTTCTGAGAGATAACCTAACCTTGTTGGCTGCAGGAAGACAGAAAGGCTGTCCAAATGTGCTGGTAGAGCCAGTCATTGGTTGCAAGGTTGTGAGCTGGGACAGCATGAATAGGTTAGGCCCGAGCAGATGCAGTCGTATGAGAAACTGTCTGCTTATGAGCAAGCATGCTTAAGCATTGGCTGAAGACCTACAGTGCTATTATCTTTCACTTTCAGCAGTGTGGTGCTTGTCTGGATTATGGGGTTCAAGTGTCGTCTGCAGCTCCTAGCTCTGATGGCTGAGGCTGAGTAAAGTTAATGTATGGTGAAGTTATGCATTGGCTCCTTGGGTTATGTATGAGTGAAGTTTATGGCCTATGCCAGATGCCCTACAGCTCCACTTTCAATTTTGTGGTGATTAGGTTAGGCTCAGTGCTGAATTTAACCTGTATGAGTATATGTCACAAAAAGAGATTAGCTTGAAAAAATTTATGTGACCTAAATATCACCGTTAGCTCCTAAAGTAAAAAATATATGTACAAAGTTTCACCAAGCTGCTTTTATTAATTTACTAGATAATTTTTGCTGGCTGTGTGTGGGTAAAACCATGGGAAGCAGCCGCTAGTATGTCAGCAGAATTGTTTGATAAAGTTAACTATCTTGTTCCTATGTTTTGTTAGCTTCTTGACAAATAGACAGCAAAACTTGTGCATAGATATTAGGACACAATAGATTCTGTAAATTCAACTCATTGCCAGTTAATGTATCCAAACAAGAAACAACCATACCGTCATCTGGGGCTACTCGGGACTGGCGGGGTAACTTGGGACAGTCCTATGACACGGCGTAAAACAGTCATAGTAGCAAAACGAATTGGAATATTGCAAAACTAAATATAGTGGCATAAACGTCAACATTTTTCCTATCTATGTAGTATAAATTAAGTAAAAAAATACTACATTTACTAGCTTTGAAAAAAATGGTGAAAAATGCTATTTTGAAAAGTTACTTCTGCTAAGATCTGTAGTAAAAAAATATTTGCCGTATTAAAAAATTTTACTTACGTAAAAGTTGCACCCAGGTGTCAGCTTGAAAACGTAATTGAAAGATTTTGCCAATCTCATTAAAAAAAATTGCGGTCATTTGCGCATGGCAGGGGTCGCAGGGCCACTCGGGACACCCCCTGGGGCTATTCGGGACCTGTCTCTTATACACATCTAGATGTGTATAAGAGACAGATACTCTTATATGCTGTACAGTTTTTAATGGGCCAGCAGGACTAGGCGGNATTTAATATCCATCAATACTTCTGCCTTCTTAAAAAAGCGGAAAAGAGTGTCAATTTTGTTGTCCAAGTTGAAACTTTCATTTTAATGCTCATATATAATTTTTTGGCATGGCAGGTGGTGATGCCATGCATGAAACAATGGTCAGATAATTAGTGATGGACTGAGGTATAATAAGGAAGCCTCATACACAAGCCAGAAGCTGTGGTGGGTCTCTTTGTGAGGCAATTTCATGTGACCATATATGATAACTTGCTTGTGAAATAGTTATATAATAATCAAATATTATATCATTGTTATATAACACATTATTTTCATTTACAAATTGTGCAATTTTTCCTCAGGTCATCTTTCTTCTTCTAAAGCTCTACATAATGGATAAAGCTACAAGAGCTACTCATCATCCTGTAATTAAGTTTGCCTTTAAAAATGTTGAATCTGTAGAGAATGGTTCATTGCAGGCTAAATGTAATTTTTGTAAATTTGGTGGGGGAATTGTAAAGTTTGGTACAAAAAGTTACAGTAATTTGACTAAACACCTAAAGCGTCACCACTTGAGTGCGTATAATGCTTATCTTGAAAAAACAAAAAATTATTCTTCATTGGATGCTAGAGAGAAAAGCATGATGAAATCCTATTCCCCACCTTCTCACCCAATTGGCACAACACAATCCATTTTATCTCTTAGCACAACACAGAAAGTCACATCAGTTCCATGCAGCACCTCTTCACTCCCAATGGGCACAACACAATTAATTTTGTCTCCTAGCACAACACAGGAAGGCACATCAGTTCCATGCAACACCTCTTCACTCCCAATGGGCACAACACAGAAAGTCACATCAGTTCCATGCAGCACCTCTTCACTCCCAATGGGCACAACACAATACATTTTGTCTCCTATCACAACACAGAAAGTCACATCAGTTCAATGCAGCACCTCTTTACTCCTAATGGGCACGACACAATCCATTTTGTCTCCTAGCACAACACAGAAAGTCACATCAGTTCAATGCAGCACCTCATCACTCCCAATGGGCACAACACAATTAATTTTGTCTCCTAGCACGACACAGGAAGGCACATCAGATCCATGCAACACCTCTTCACTCCCAATGGGTACAACACAATTAATTTTGTCTCCTAGCACGACACAGGAAGGCACATCAGTTCCATGCAGCACCTCTTTACTCCCAATGGGCACGACACAATCCATTTTGTCTCCTAGCACGACACAGGAAGGCACATCAGTTCCATGCAACACCTCTTCACTCCCAATGGGTACAACACAATTAATTTTGTCTCCTAGCACGACACAGGAAGGCACATCAGATCCATGCAACACCTCTTCACACCCAATGGACACAACACAATCCATTTTGTCTCCCATCACAATGCAGGAAGTCACATCAGTTCCATGCAACACCTCTTCACTTTCAATGGGCACAACACAATCCATTTTGTCTCCTAGCACAACACAGAAACTCACATCAGTTCCAAGTAACACCTCTTCACTCCCAATAGGTACAACACAATTCATTTTGTCTCCCATCACAATGCAGGAAGTCACATCAGTTCCATGCAACACCAACAATTCCAACACAATTTCCTACATAACAGAAGCACCACTTCCATTGAAAATTGACACCAATGAAGAAAATGCGCATTCAACTGCATCTATATCACTTTCCAACATTTCACAGCAGCCTGCCAAATCCAGTCATTCATCGTCCCCAATGATGAGGAAAATTCAACCAGTCATGATGTACAAACTGCTATGCACATCATGTCTTTCTCTTTCAAATGCAGAAAACTTTTACAAAAATTCGCTGGAGGTTGCACTTGCTGAGTGCACACACAAAATCAATGATTGTTGCTGCAAAAGGAAGTATGAGGAACTCCTTGGAAGAACAACTGAGGACAAATCAGACATTTCCAAAGGAAATGACGACACCTTTGATGGTTCTCCTTTCTTATGCCAATATAACTATGGAAAAGATCAAATTATTCACTTTTGTAAAGTGTGCTTAAGACGTGGATGTCCTAGCAAAGGTAAACGTAAAATTGGAGAATCTTGGACTGAGGGAATCACTTTTACTAGTACCCAGATGAAAAATAAAGCCATGAAAGTGCACTTGCAAAGTCAACAACACAAAGAAGCTCTGGAATTTAGTAAATGTGATGATAAAAATCAACAAAAATTAGGATTCCCAACTAGAGAAGAACGGGAAAGTGCAACAAGAAATGCTATGATTGCTGGAATCTTCATGACATCTCATTTATTACCATTCAGATTGTATACTGCATTGTGTGCTTTTCTGTCCCTTATCTGCCCATCACACTTGAGCAATCCCTTGGGCAACCAACATCAAACGCTTATGGGTATCCACCAGGTGCTCGCAGCAAATTATGAAGCCTGTTTAACCACCATGAAGAAATTCTTTAACAACACTTTTGCAGCAACAAATAGCAAAAGAAAAATTACTATCAGCTGTGATAAGGGGACTGCTCCAAAGGATGTATCACGACAGGCCATTGTTGCAACCTATGTTAGCGAAGATGGAATGCCCAAAGAAATGGTTTTAGGGATTCCAATGATCAGACAAGGAGATGCAATGGCTACTACTAAGCATGTTAAAGAAAATGTTTCTTTATTTCTTGATCCCTCATCTGTTGCCTTTGTGTGTACAAATAGTGCAGCTGTATACACAGGAAAGAAAACTGGTATGATTGAGATGCTAAAGACATCAAATGAATTTAAAAGTTTGAATGGCCTCCCTGACTTCTGCCATGAAATGGAAAATTTATTGCAGAAGTCCATGCCCAAATGGGTTTCAGATACATTATCNTCATGGCACCCTCTTGTTAAAGTTCTTGAAATCTGAAAAATTATAACAAAATATTTTCCTTGAGCAGCATTAGAGGCTGACGCTCAATCTCCTGTTGCTGAAGTTTCTGTTGACAACATCAAGGACGAGTTTGAGGATGGGATTGTGGATGTAGATGTCAAGGAGGAACCTTTCTCCTATGATGATGAGGTATACATGATACCAGGGATAATACAATTGCACTTATTAAATATATCGTGGAGCTCAAGGTTTATAATTGATATAAATTAAGATTGAATCAGTTCCTGGAAGCTCATTTATGTTGGTTGTCCTGCTAAAGAAACTTGCTTGGGTCAATTGTATGTTTTATGATCTTCTTCACTTGAATTCATTGAATATTTTCTTTTGTACTCAAATATGCTGGCATAATTCAATTATAAATATAAGCAATGTAGCCACATGTCGCGGCAGGCACTGGAGCCCCTGAGCCCCAGGGGCCTGCTGGTTCCTCCCCTGCCATGTGTGCCATGCAAGAGGGAAGCTCCCATGGAGGCTCCTGATGGCCACGACGTGCCTCTGTGTTATTTGCTCATCACTGATGGAGCTGAGGGACAGGTGGGTGGTATTGCCATGGCTCCTGATGGCCACGACGTCCCTCTGTGTTATTTGCTCATCACTGATGGAGCTGAGGGACAGGTGGGTGGTGTTGCCATGGCTCCTGATGGCCACGACGTCCCTCTGTGTTATTTGCTCATCACTGATGGAGCTGAGGGACAGGTGGGTGGTATTGCCATGGCTTCTGATGGCCACGACGTCCCTCTGTGTTATTTGCTCATCACTGATGGAGCTGAGGGACAGGTGGGTGGTATTGCCATGAGAAGAGTCTGCACTTGAGACTTGCCTCATCTTAAATTGTTTTTAATTTTCATTGCCTTGAGTAAACAAACATCCAGGCAATTTATGAAACTGATTTATTAAAATGATTCAAAATAGCAAGTGGCTAAAGTCATCAATTAAAGTTGCTTGAAAATTTTTGAAATTCGGGAAAATTGCTTTCTAAATTACCATATCCAAGTGATGGAGTTTTAGATACCAGCTTCATTATCATTTTTTATTCCCTATTGCTTAAGTAGCTCATGTACACATGTGTATTTTGATATTTTTCATTTAGTGCTCATATATGTAAGTGAATAACAATGCACAATTTACATAAAATTCATCACCACATACATCACTTCTTGTTAATATTGCAGGCAAAAAATATAATTACAAAATAGGGTAAAATTTTTGGTCAGTTTGCTCTACTGCCAGCCTAGCAGGTAGGAATTAAAAAGGATTTGTTAAAGTATTTTAAGTTCTTATTGGTTTAAATTCTAAAATTTCTTCTTCAATGAAAATTTTGTAGAGACCTGCATTGGATCTTCACCTTCATTTTAAAGTACATCACAAGTTCATATATAATTCCTTGCATATTTAAGGAAAAACAAATGTTGGCTCGCAATAATGCATTATTTTCCTCTTGCCAAATTGCATGAGCTTTCAATAGAGCTTGAGCTTAGGCCATATTTGCGGCTAAACAATTTTATTTTGGTAAAAGAGATCGCTTCAAAATTCAGCTAAGTTAATGGCTGTTCAGGGTATCAATTTAATGTGAAGTAGAAAGTGCTAGAGCTAAGGTAAGATAAACTGGCATTCATGGTGAAACCTTCACTTTAGGCTGATGCTGGAGAATCATTATTGCATTCAAATGTCAAGCCTCCATTCAAATTTCTACTGGTCTTTTCTTCTGCTGTGAAGGAGATTCAATTTTTTCTCCAGGTAAAGATTATTAGCGCAAAGCACAACCGGACTTCTGTAGATGAACACGAGCAGAAACCAAGGCTAAATCCTTTATTAGCTTGCATCCAGTTTATATTATTGAATGATTGGATTATTAGTGTAATGTTTTATATATATTGCATTTTGTATCAATCAATTTATTCTTGTATTTACTTCTCTTAACTAATTACCAGCAGGCCTCTGCTAAGTCAATAAAACGTGCCGATTGTACCTCATTTTCAGCTTGTAGTTCATATATAGACTGGGCTTAGTTGTGACCAATCAATANCCACACCCTGGACAAGCCAGGTACTCACCACACCCTGGACAAGCCAGGTACTCACAACACCCTGGACAAGACAGGTACTCATTTATCGACCAGTTTTGGATGAATGGCTGAGTTGACCATGAGCTGAGCTTCTCTGAAAAACTTGTCCTCAGTGGGACTCGAACTTGGGTCGCTGCAGTGCGAGGAAGTCTCTCACAACTGCACAGCGTAGCTTTGGTTTGCCCAGTAGACAATAGTTGTGTAGGCATTATTGACTTGTAGACGTTAACCTGCATTGAAATGACTTGTTTCTGCGCCTGCAGAGCAGCGGCAAGTCGTCTACTGCTGGGGGAGCTGCAGCAGCTGCTGGTGGCAGCGGCAAGTCGTCCGCTGCTGGGGGAGCTGCAGCAGCTGCTGGTGGCAGCGGCGACGCCTCTAACCCACAGCAGTTTCCATTGAAGCTTCATCAACGTAAATATGCAAAGCATTTACCTCAGGATATAATACCGTATGTTTAAGTTGAGATGCCATGCAGAGGTATGTTCCAGATCCCTTATATTTTACCTTCACTTTACGTGAAACTTTGCATTCTACGCCAAGCTTTGACTAATAAAATCCTATTTGCTGAGTTTAACTATTCACCGATTGGATCAACGTGAAATGAAGCTCTTAACTGTAAAGCTATATAGCATAATCATATTGGATTATATGNCACTGCTGGGGGAGCTGCAGCAGCTGCTGGTGGCAGCGGTGATGTCTTCAAGTCATCCAGCCCCAGGCTGCTCCCCACGAGGCTTCATCAATGTAATTCTGCTAAACATTCACCCAAGATATATTGCAACGATATTATATTAGTCGCTGTTGGAAATGCAATGGAACTTATTCTGCTATATCTTATTATATCAGGAAGCAAACTTTTTCTCTGCTCCTAGGGTAAGTAAGCTATAGCGTAAACATATATATAGTATATGTATAGCATATAGTATATGTATAGTACCTACCGTATATAATATAGTGTAAACATATAGCGTATATAGTATATATAGCCTAAACGTAAGCTTAGTTACCCTATGTACCATCATCTTATTGGGTGACTGTAGCATGCTTTATATTGATGCTCAGAGCTACAGCACCCATAGGGTGACTGTAGCATGCTTTATATTGATGCTCAGAGCTACAGTACCCATAGGGTGACTGTAGCGTGCTTTATATTGATGCTCAGAGCTACAGTACCCATAGGGTGACTGTAGCGTGCTTTATATC